ACAACAGGCACAGTAGGTGACTATTTCACACCATAGGAACTAGAGATTTTAATGAAGAAATAAAAAAAAAATGGAGACAGTGCTACAGCTGTAAAGGAGAGGAAGATTGTGAAGGAGAATATTGCTGCACGAGTTAATGTGTATAGGTTTATATGAACTGGTCTATGGCAGGTCGTTTTTACATTTATTAAAAGCACTTTCCTCTCTTGTTACATTTGTAGATCACTAAAATAGGATTCTTCTTTGTCAAAATCACATTCCTAGAAGGAATTATAATAGATTTTCTAAATAATGTTTTTGCTGCAGAAACTGGATTTAAGAAACTTAAGAAAAAACAAAATTGTACTAGTGAGATTTAAGTTTTATATATCTAGAAATTTAAACATTTATCAGCTTGACTGAATATGTATTTATGATATCAGAAATACATATTCAGTCAAGCAAATACATATCAAAACGGCCTGCCTTAGAGGTAATAGCTGATAACATTATGGGGAAAACCAGTTTACTGCTTGAATAATAGTGGATCAATGTATCTATTTAGGTGAAATCACCTGCTAGCAGATAAAGATGAAGTCTAAAAACATTGTTCTAACAGGTAGGACCTGAACATCATCTTATGGAGTTCCTCCTTAGTTTGATTCTGTCTTCCATTAGTACAGATAAATACTAAGTGTCTTTTTGCAGCTGCTTCAGATGTTATCATTTAATAAATGGTTGTTACTACTCCCAACCATAGGTGGGTATCACCGAATTAATCCAAATCCTAACCCTAACATAACAAATTTTCCCCCAAGGAATAAATTAATCTATTTATGGGTAATCTAAAAATTATGTCAGTGGGCCTTCATGTACTGTAAAAAAAAAAAACACATTTCTGCATGTCGCTCATATTGAGAAAAAAAATCAAAAACAAAAAAATTCCCATATCCTGTCAAAGTCTTGAATGGTTATTACTTGAGAGTTGCCTCAAGGATATGTTTTTTTTTTAATTTAATTT